GAAACGGAAAGAAAGGGACATCGTCGATAAAATATGTCTGAAGTACAACTATTGGCACAAGGGACCTCTGAAGCTGATTTCTTCTAATTAATTTATTTTCAATGTGCATGAATCCATGCACTGGGACTCTAGTTTTATCATAATTTTTAAAAAGAAATAATCTAATCTTGTTTTGAGACACCACTAAAATAGCAAGGTGTTTTCTTTATACATAAGAGAATTACTTGCCTTATAATAAAACTAGACTTTTAAAAATGTCTAAAAAAAAACCCCTCTTTTATCAGTGAGAAACACGCATCTTGGTCACTCATCTTAGTCACTCATCTTGACCAAAAGAGAAAGCAATAGATGTCAAAAAAGAATGTGATAGTTGTCAAAAAAAGACAAATACTCTTTTTTCCCCCCCTCTGTTTCCATTACCTCAGTCCCCATGCTATCAGAGTTACAACACAGATTTAAAAGTGGACTTGCCTTTTACATTGCAAAAAATAATGTGGCTTTCTATAAATGTAAATAGTATTTTATAAATTAAAAATATATTTTACTTCCTATATTGGCATTAAAGAGTATAATGCCTGCTATGTAGATTTTTTAAGGTGATGTAGGATATATATCATTTATCAAAGTTTGACTGAATGTAAGAGAATTAATAGATTTGTGAGAAATAGACTTAGGAAAGGATTAATAAACTATAAAAGGATTGATGAACTATTAAATTCACTGAAAGGCTAAGAATGTTTAAAAACTCCGCACTCGTTGGCTAATATCATCTACTAGACTGTAAGTTTATGAGGGCAGGAAACACATCCATCTTGTTCACCACTATTTTTTTTTTTATGCCTCCAACAATATCTAGTATTGTCGACACTCAATAAATATTTTTGAATGAGTTAGTAAATTCAGGATAGCGTTAAAATATAGAAAATTGCTTTTTAGGCAATAGTTAAAAAGACACTAATGAAGGCATTTTTCAGTCAATAAGTGCTTTGTAATATTACCAACTGACCATTCAGATACCTAATCAGTCACAAGTTTCATTATTCATCAAATACATGTTCAACACTAGCTACCAAATTCATCCAATTCTTACATATGGAATTTTATTCACAAACCAATGCTCTACATTTCAAGAGACCAATATTGTCAACACTTAAGCACTTAATATCCAATTCTTCACATGAATCTTTTTGTCTGATGGGCTGTTGTTGAACTTTTCTCATGAAGTCTGAGCAATAAAATTATGTTTTGTGGATTTGCTTATATTGTTTTTAAGTAGAGGCATTATTATGAAATTTTCTATATATCTTTAATATATCTCAGTGGAAGAATAAAATGTTAATATTAGCTATTTGAAATAGTATTTTTTTCAAAATTTGAACTATTTGCACAAATATTAAAATGAACAATGATTAAATGGTGTTTTATATAGTACTGACAAAAGATTTAGAGTGAAAGAGTATGTCAGTATTTGAGAGAATATAAAAGAGGTATCTCCTGCCTTTAAATATATTTCCTAGACTTTAAATATTGATTTTTGTATTATTTTCTTTTATTTTGAAAAACTAAAATATAAGCAGGAAAAGTAGAAAATAGTTTCTACATGATTAGCTAAAAAGGGTCAAAACTTTGGAATTGCTTGAAATCTATTTTAAAAGCTCAGCTACTTTGATATTTTTTCTATCATAGAACCATGAAAAGTTATTTCAACGGAATTGCATACATAACTCCTAGAGTGCAGACAGTAGCTATTATTTGTTCACTTCATCAAAATGCTTTTTTAAATTCTTGCTACGTCTGTATTACCAGGTCCTGAAGAAACCAAGGTGAAAGAGGCCCTACCGAAGCCAAACCCTCTTTGCTATTTCTAACAAAGGAAATGCCATTCTTGCCACTAACTCTTGGAATGATTTCCAAGTTCTCTAAAAATAATTTAGCCTGTGTCAAATAGCTGTCTCATCTGGAAAACTCAATAAATGAGCATAGAAGTTAGAAAGAGTAGGGGGAATGTTAGGTGTTAAACTGAAATGGTATATCCCACGCATGCTAGATGGAAACTCCAAATTAGCCAGCACACTTCCATACATCTGCTCAGTTTTCTTTAAACTTGAGCTATATTATTGCAGAAAAGCATAATAATCCCCACTCTGATCTTGTATTTCAAATGAAAGAGCCTGAAACATCACAGCATAGGCACCTTTCTAAAGGGGTATTATGGGTGGATGGATTTCTTTTGGGGTCAGCATTTCTACATTCAAAGAGCAGATTATAGAAGGAGAGAAAGTAAGGAGTAATATGAAGTATTTCTACCCCATGACAATGACTCTAATTTGACACTGGACTTTAGTTTAAAGAGGACATGCCTATTAAATCATGCCTTACTTTTAAATAGCTGAGTTTTTTAAAATTCTGTGCAAATTACTTTTTTTTTGGTAGGCAGATTACACTTAACTCTGTCTGAATAACTGTTTACATGTAGAAAGCTCAGATAAATCCTTATGAAAGTAAAAAGGATACATTATTTATTTCCTCAGAAATGCACGTCACTGTGAACTATATTCTTAAGTTGAAGCATTTTTGAGATGCAGCTATTAAAATGATTTTTAAAATTCTAGTTACATAATTTTGCAAGGAAATTCTATTTGATAAATTTGCCGCTGTTACATTATTTAAGAGGAACATTTATTGTATGTTGGTTCATGAATGAAATGTCATTGCCTCTAATAATTTTCGGACATCTGATAGTGTCCTCAAGCAGAAGAACTGGAATAATTTTTAGAAGGAATAACTTATCACATGACTATTAACTTTTGTAGGGTGCCATCTAAATCAAGATTTTTCAAGGTGACCAAGCAGAAAATGAAAATATTCTGGATATTAAACATTTTTGTATTTTATTTTTTGATATGAAAGACAACCTATAAAACTTTTATAAAGAAAAGTGGTTACAGTAACTGGCATTAGTTCTTATTGACTGATATAAGGATGAAGGTGAAACTCCATTTGTCTATGGGTCATGTGATAGTACAAATATAGGGTTAGGCTATGGCTTTGCTTTCCCACTCTCATGATTTATTTTAGAGTTTGTGGTGGCATGGGGGATGAAAAGAGATAATATTGGGCCATTGACCTTTTGCCAAGAACTGTACTTAACATTTTACATAAGGCTTCTTGTTTATAAAAAGTTAAGCAATATGGTATAAAAAATTTCACCCAAAAGAAATCTCTTATTCTTTTTTTTCCCACCATGCAAAGTTTCTGGAAACTTTTTTTCTAGAGTGAGTTTCTCACCTGTTGTAATAGGAGACAAGATCTCTAGTAAGGGCGAGAAATCTGGTTTTCTTGTTTTATTCCCCCTGTTGGCAGTCACTGTTTTTATTTATTATTTATTTTTTCCTTGAAATGAAGGGAGTCCCTACTCTATTGGAAATTTGTGCCCCCACAGAGCAGGCTAAGCACCTCACCTTGATCATTTCTACTTACTTTTTTCCTGTCTGCTGACCAGTGATGAGGAGAACACCACTAAGCATTTTGATGATTCATTGTAAGTGTGCCCATCATACTTTTACCCAGATCTGTATGTGGCTAAAGCCTTAATAGTCTCCCACACCAAAAGTCATGTTCGAAATACAATACATTAACAACCTGAAGCAGGCTCAGCTGTGGAGCAGGATACTAAGAATAAATAGATGAAATTCTAGACATTTCTAAAGAGGATCCAGCTACTTAAAGACCACTGAGGTCTTCAGTGACTAGGTGTGAATATTTCAGTGCAGTCCAAGCTGAACTGAGAGGCATTTCTTACTTCCAAATTTAAATACCGCCTGTGCATATAAAAAGAGTTTCGTTTATTAGTCCAAAATGTTACTACGATTGGGATCTTGAAAAAATATTCTCTCTTTCTTGGGCATGTTCTTCAGCAAAAGAAAGTTGGGAAGGGTAGGCTGGAGAATGGAACTTCTACTTGGAGGCCATAAATTGGAGACATCATTTTTCACCTCACAACAGGAGAGGTTGGGCTGAAGATGGATGAGTAAGTGCATTTCCCTGCCAAAGTTAAGATGATAAACTGTGGGTGAGCCTTGGCGAAATTCAGTCCACCCACTGAAAAGCTGCTAGTGTTCTGTTATTGAAGATCATCCAAAACGTTTTCCTCACAGGTTGGACCCATTCTCTTTGAGGGGCAAGTACAGCTCCCATTGAGCGGGTTGCACTGGGTCCTGTGGACACATTGGCACGTCAGAGCGCAGTTAGGTCCATATTGGCCTGGCCTGCATTCTGTGAGGAAAAAATAAATAAATATAAAAGTAATTCAAATATGCTTTTCCATCACATAGTATCTTTACTACTATTTCTTGGAATTGCATAAGATGATAGACAAAGAATTCTGGTTAACCCTGTGGTATTTTTCCCCCAGGCTAGAATGCTATGTATTAAAAGTCAGGACTTTAATGGAAAGCAGGAAGAGGCTGAGGGGTGTCAAGGAAGTTAGTGACAAAGATGAAGAGAGAAATCAGGACAGCAACTTAAATTTCATAAGTGCCCTCTCAGAATTAGATTATTGTTATAGAGCTCATCGCAGTAGCATTGCAAGGGACATGGGGAAAATGGATTAGTTTTTGTGAGGTCAGAAAAAGGCAACACTCACTCAGGATACACAAATTTGTCTTCAGGTTGAAAACGTGATTACTTGTGCCTATGTTGTTGAAGATGACATGGCTTTACATTCAACTCTTTCACCTCTTAAAATATGTCAAAATGGCCAGTGATGCCTTGTGTACCTACTTCTGTAAAATCCTGCTATTTGTACTCAAGGAATGTAACTATTTTTAAGTTGAATTGCATTGTGAATTCAACAAATAGAGAAATGAGGAGAGAGGATTAAAAATATTAGCCTTATCAAAATAATTAAATGTGTAGGCTAAAGTTTCCCTCAGGCATCACACCCAAACCTGAGCATTTGGTTTTAGTCTGATGTGCAGCAGAAAATTAGGAGAGAATTAATAGGTTCTGTTTCTGAAGGATTGAGAGGATTGGGAGAAAGCCCAGCCCGCCCCATGGAAACAGAAAATGGGGTCAGATTCATTCAGTGAGAATGGGAAGTAACTCAGTTTACTACCAATGTTTAAGAATTAGAGAAACTTAACTTTTCAATAATGAGTCACCTAGCTCTAAACAGTTTACAAAGCAGGTCCCAAACACATTAACACAGTTGGTTCTAGCAAAACTGTGAGGTAGGCAAGACAGTGAGATAAGCTCTCTCTCATTGTAGAGAGAGAAACAGGTTTGATGTGGCTTAAGGGACCTTCACAAATGTTATGTCCCAGGCAAATGGCAGAGCTGGAGTTCTAAATTCTTATCTAGTGCTCATTCCTCAATCTGCACTCCCATGTGGGAAGGCATACCATGTCAAGCATATGCAAATTAAAGCCCAAATAAGGAAGTGGAGAGAGCTGGAAAGTGGGAAATTTAGAAATGTCAATGCAAATACTAGGATACCAGTCCTAGAACTGAGTCTTCGGGTATAATTTTGTAAAATATTTCTATAATTATTGCCTCAAAATTCTCTTGGCCAGGTTGGAGAAGCACCCTAAATACTCCATAAGCATTTGAATGTTTATTTGTTTATTTATTGCTCTCTTGGGTAATGAAGGTAGTCTAAGATACGTTCTGGCCTTCTTGCCTTAATTAACTAGTTAGATTTTAAATATGAGAAAAATGTGAACTTAATCAATTTTGCAATTCATTCATTTTGCAGAGCAAACAGTAATTCAATCTCTCCCTAGATGAAGGAAGAACGGGTAGGTAAAAGGAGCTCTGGAGGTGATGTAAATGCTGCTCTGAAATGAATCTTTTCTTTACATCATCAAACGTAATCAAAATTAAAAAATAAATCCTCTATGTATAAGTACCACATCTTCTTTATCCAGTCCTCTACTCAGCCGTAAGAAAGGATGAAATAGCGCCATTTGCGACAACATGGATGGACCTTGAGAAGATTATGCTAAGTGAAATAAGGCAGTTAGAAAAAGCTGAGAACTTTATGATTTCACTCATATATATGATACAGAACTGATATTTGGGAACACAACCAGCAGTGGTGATTGCTAGAGGGAAGGGGGTGGTGGGAAAGGGTCCCTAACATAAGGTGACAGGAGAAGATTTGACTTTGGGTGGTGGGCACACAGTGCAATGTACAGATCTTGTAACATAGAAACCCACACCTGAAATGTATATGTTCATTTTGACCAATGTCACTCCAATCAATTTAATAAATAAGTATTAAAAATAAATAAACAAACAAATAAACCCTAACCTAATACATCCACCCCCATCCAGTGTGTAGGAGGATAACTTAGCTTGGTGGTAAGATCTAGTTTTCTTGTTTGAAAAAGAGTTATGAGTCAGGATCTCTCCTAAGCAGTTCAGAATCTGATTTTAATTTATAAAAATACCACATTTTATGTTAATAACGATGTGTATTTAAGACATCTGTTTGAATGTCTGCAAATGTTAATTTACCAAGGGGGTGGGGAAATAATCCAATAAAAAGCTGCTACATTCTTTTATGAATTAACATTATGGCTGTTTAATAGGTCCTTTACCAGAGTTCAAATTAAAATGAGGTCTTTTATCTTTATAGTGCCTGCATAGACACAGCTGCTCACAGTTAATATCGCAGATGAACTGTGCCTAATTGAAAATAAAACTGCAAATAAAAGATCATGTAGTACATCTGTGTAAGCTGTGGGTACCCCCAAAGAGCTCATGACAAGAGAGGCCTTGAGGTGCCCACTGAGAATGGGCATGTTAATACATATGTTCCACTGTCAAATGGTAATTTTTCTGCAGATAAAAGTGACTGTGTGATACAAGAATTTAGTCCATAGAAAGTCCATAGAGTGAGGCCTTCATTTCCAGCCTGGCCATAAGCTCTCTTGGTTTTGAAGAAGCTAGTTTTAAGTCACCGCTGGGTGTTGTCAAACAGAACTTTCAGCAATGACGAAAACATTCTATACTGTGCTATCCAATACTGTAGCAACTAACCATATATGTGGCCACTGAACACTTGAAATGTGACTGAGGAGGTGAATTTTAAATTAAACTACATATAAATTAAATAGCAACCTGTGGTTAACGGACAATGCATATTGGACAACAAAATCAATTCCTGTTCCTTGTTCCTTTCTTTCCCTTGAGCAGCGGTATAGTGGGGATATTGAGTCTGGCTCTGGACCCAGATTGTCTGTTTCAAATCCCCAGTCTGCCATGTGTGAGCTGTGTAACTTTGGGCAAGTAACTTAACCATTTTGTGCTGCAGCTCCCCCATCTATAAAAGGGAAGGGCGGTGATAGTACAGGCACCTAGTATACATTAAAACGCCTGGGGTATGATACACATTCAATAAACATGAATGGTTTTCTTCAGTATTTGGATGAAACCACAAATACTATAAGCATTCTGCCTTCAGTGAGCATTTCATTGGTGACATGTATACTGTGGCTTTGCCAAGATGTCATGCTGATGTCTACTCTGACAGATTTAGTTTAGATATGACAAGGTTCGGGAACGTGTTTACCATGACTCCCTGAGGAATGCTGAAAAGAAACAAATATTTGCTGAAAACTGTCATGTGCTAGACCCTTTTCTGAGCCTTTCTTGATAAAAGATAAATAAACATGGATCGAACTCTCAAGAAGCTTGTAGTGCAGTGAAACACAGTGATTAGAGCTATACATGAAGCAGCTTTGCAAAAAAGAAATGTCAGCATCAGTAAGCTTCTCAGTTGGAAGATCCCAAAGGATTCCAACCCGATATTCATAACCCATTGGACTTATTTTAAAGGCCTATGGAAAAGGGAAGAAGGGATAGGAAAGAATATAAATCTCTTGATGAGCCCCTGAAGGTTCCTTATAGAGGACTACATGCAGACAGGCACACATATAGTATTGTCTACTAAGAGCATCATCACCCAACGGTCAAAACCAGACTGCCTGGGGTTAAATCTTGGTTCTGACTCTTCCTCAGCTCTCTTGTCAAGTAAGAATAAAAATAGAAGAGCCTCATTGGGTGGTGGTAAAGAGTAAATGAATACAAGCAAAATGTTTAGGATGATCAGTCCTTTGGGGTTATTGTGAAACATGAAACCTTTTCATCTAGGAAACATCCATTAAGTTTAAATAGTAAGTGATGAATCAATGATCCACTCAGTCTACTTTCTCCTCTTAAGATAGTCGCTAAAGATTTTGAATTTTACATTCTAGGCCTTTCTTCCTGTGAGTGTAAAAGGGGGAAAAAGGTTTAAATTCAAATTCCCAAGAATACTAGGAACTTGGTTCTCAAGAATAGTACCCCAATCTTCATTGCCTTATTTCTAGTGATTTTTCTGAATTGCTTTTGTAATCAGGATGTTTAATTGCATCACCTTGAGGTGCCTTCAAGGTGTCCTCTGTCAGCTGTAGTGCTGGTTTTGGTTGCCTGTTATGCAACAGCCACATACCCTGATGAATCATACTAAGGCAAGGTGACAAGCAATGGTAGTGTGATATTCTTTAATTGCATAATACTTTTAGTATAAAAAAAATGCCTGGAGATCTCTGTGTCACCCATGAGACAGAGGGGCATCACCAGGTACTTGGCTCATACCAGCTTCACATCTGGCTCCGGCTCTTCCAGGTGGGCAGAGGCACTTTCCAGTTACTGGGTGGCAGGAGATTTTGCTTTCACAGTCACAAAGATGCTGGCAATTGTCTCCAAACATTCCAGGTGAACACTCTACCAAGGAAAGAGAAATGCTGAAACATGAACCACTTGAACTTTCACTGATGTAGCTAACATGGAATTAAAGATAGAATTTCCTCAAGGTTGAGCCCCAAGTAGCAAAGTGGGAGGATAAAATGAGATTTGTTGGTTAGAAGAAGAGAGGAAAGGGTTTGGAATTCTCAGAAATCAGCTTCATTTTATACATGATTTCACACTCAGGTTTTAAATTGACTTACTCTGACACTGGTTTGTACCTTTGAGAATGTATGGAGGGCTTTCAAAGACAGGAACTTTAGGAAGGAAATAGAGTCTACTAGCCAAGAGTATTACTTTTAATATTTTCCCTTAAAATGTTATTTATTTATTTATTTATTTATTTACTATTTTCACAGAAGACTGTAAGCTCCACTATATCCCCAGAACATAAAAGTAAATAATAAGTGGATAAGTGAATAAAGGATGGCAAGAAATACTATATGTATAGCTCTGGTGACTTATGAGGATATAGTATGGGAGGAGCATATGAATCCTTTTTATTTATTTTTATTTTTTGTAACCTTGTTTCTTTCTTTTTTAAAAATATTTTTATTACATATGTCCCCCTTTTTCTCCCATTGACCCCCTTATAGCCTATCCCCCTTGCCCCAGGCCTCTACCACCCTATTGTCTATGTCTATAGGTTATGCAATTATGCATACAAGATCTTTGGTTGATCTCATCCCACCCCCACACACGAATCCTTTTTAAAGGCAATAACTCTGATATACATAAATTCAAGTGACCACTATCATCATATTATTATAATCATAATGATTATTATAACCCTATGCACAAGTCATACATAATATAGACTAAAATGATATTTTGAGTTGCATACCAAGACTTATGTATTCTGGCATTGTTTTGAATAGACTGATCAGTCCTTTAGGACTTTATAATTTACTATTTTAAACTAAGTAGCCCAAGTTCTCACCTCTATTTCCTCATCCACATTCATGACTGCCATCATTTTCTAGTAATAAATGCCTAATTCCCATCTTTAAATATTTTTCATAAAGCCTTGTATCTATTTTAATATCTTTAAACCCAATAGATAATCTTTTAAAATATTTTAATAAAATATTTCTCATTCAGAGGTACAATCTTTGTCCATTGAAGAATAACAGCTTTAATGGGGTTTGGAATATTAAGCAATTTCACTTAGGGGAAGGTAAAATTTTTGAACAATCAGAACAAAATCGCAGGACACATTGGCTATCGAGTGAATTTCTGTTGCTTTAATGTCCAAGTCAGAAGATTAAGTGACTATTCCATGTTTCTGATTTGGATTTATGTTTGCCCTAAGATAGAAAGACCTCACATTCACACAGAATTCCCCTATTCACCTGCTTTAAAATGCTCTGGCTATACCTTTTTCACACTGGCTGCCATGGAAACCTGCTGGGCAAATGCACTGTCCACTCGTTGCATCACAACTGGCTCCATTTCTGCAGTCACAGATGTGAGCACAATTCAAACCATAAAATCCAGGAAGGCATGCTGGAAAATAAAAATGTCAAAATGCTATTTTGGCTTTAAGAATAAATGCAGGGAAAATTAAAGGATACGCTGTAGGTCATTTGTTTCCCGGGACCAAAGAAGGAGATAAAAGCGTAAGATTAGAAACAAGGAAGAATTATGTGGAGAAGCATATTGACCGTAGTTTAGTCATACAAATAAGTGAGTGCACTGATCCATTTTTCTACAAGTAGTCTAGAAGAATCCATAAAAAATTCAAATATCTTCAAGTAAGTACAATTTATTTGCTATGATGTGCCTGGCAAAGACTTCAAAACCCTTGAATACCCTAAACACTTAAAAGAACAATGTTTTAAAAAGTTAGATACAGGTTAAATTTAGTAAGAATGGTTTTTGAGTTAAGTTATTTAAATAAATAAGTGAGTATCTGTGGATGGTGATTTATACAGCTCTTGATATTTGAAGTTTTGGGAATGGATGATAGAGGTGAGTATGAGGAAAAGGGGGGAGGGAGAAAGGAAAAAGGGGAATAAAAGACAATATGATGTATATATACAGTAGGTTAACATCATATGAGGAAGTTGAAAGTTAGATTTCAAAATCAGTGAAATTTAACCTTTAAAATACTTCCATAGATGGTCCATAAAGTAGAATTGTTTCTTATAAGCACAGTATAACTAGTTTTTCTTCCATATTTTTGTGGCTGAACAACAAAATAACTAATTAGTTTACCTTTAGAGACCATGTAATCCCAGCAAATGCTTTTCTTTGAATGCTAAAATTGTCATTTGTCCAGAAATATGATCACTCAAATAGAGATGTGTGAGAGCTAAGCTCGACTGAGACAAATATTCCCATTTCTTATCTTGAGTTTTCTCTAAGCCTTTGCTTACCACTCACTGCTAATGGGAGGGGGATAAAATTTCCTCAGTCCTTCAATTATTCTCTCTCTCTCTCTCTCTCTCTCTCTCTCTCTCTCTCTCTCTCTCTCTCCCCTCTTTCTCCCTCTTTCTTTGTGAGCCCAGCCTCCTTTCCTACAGTTAAATTTGCCTAGGCTTCATGTGCGTGACACTTCTCCAGCACGCATGGAGTTACTCAGGACAGATTCAACATTAGGAAAAACTCGCATTCAGGGAGCAGAAAAAGGAGGTAAAACCAAAAGGAGATAAGAAATGAATTAATTTATATAATACATATTCTTTCACTTTTTGATCTTATAACTCTTAAAAAAATGAATAACAGCTGGGCCTGCATGGCTCAGTGGTTGAGGGTCAACCTATGAACTAGGAGGTCATGGTTTGATTCCTGACTGGGAAACATGCCCAGGTTGTGGGCTCAATCCCCAGTGTGGGGCCTGCAGGAGGCAGCCAATCAGTGATTTTCTCTCATCATTGCTATATTTATCTTTCTCTCTCCCTTCCTCTCTGAAATCAATAAAATATATTTTTTAAAGAGTAACGAAAAAGATCAATGCAGGGTTTCGTCTATTTGTTCTTATATAATTAATATTGAGAATACAGAGAAAAATCAAATCTCTTTCTCCCCTTTATTTTCATTATTTATAAAGCTGAGATTATAAAGGTTGCCTTGCTCAATTTTTCTATTTATCTAAATAGGAGATCTTTCTCTATTGAAGACTAACATCTCTTGTGGTGTTTTGAGATATTAAAAAATTTCAAAAATTTTTGATCAGCAACAAAATCAGAATAATGCACTATATTGGCTACAGAGTGCATTTTTTATCACTTTAATGTCCAGTCAGAAGTTTAGGTGATTATTCCATAGATTTTATTTGGGTTTATGTTTGCCCTAAGGTTCCCTGGCTTGGAACTTTAGAGCCACTGTTGGTGCCTTCGTTTTCCTCATCTTCATGTCCAAATTAATTGCCCAATACAGTCAATTTTTCTTTGAAAATATTTTGTTCATTTCCTTTTTTAAAAAAATATTTTTCTATTGATTTTTAGAGAGAGAAGAAGGGGGGGGAGAGAGAATAATATATATACATAGAGAGAAGAAATATAGATTGGCCACCTCCTGCATGTCCCCCATCAAGGATCCAGTAAACCTGGGCATGTGACCTGACCAGGAATCAATATCAAACCAACAACTTACCTGTGCATGGGATGATGCTCCGTCAACTGAGCCACACTGGTCAGAGTTCATCTGATTTTCTATCCTAGTCCAGATTTTAAAGTCCTAGCCTATCACTATAGCTCTCCATGTGGATGCTACTGATGGCTCCTTTTCTTAATAACCAATAATGTTCTCACTTTACAGATTTATTTCACTAGAATAGTATCTCTTGTCTGCTCAAAATCTTTCTTGATACTCATCATAGGTGGGATCTGTAGAATGTAGGATGTATGTAATATGAAATTTATGGGCCTTGAATAGATATTTTCTCTCTCTCTTGTATCTCTTATTCCAATTTTGAAAACAAAGCAAACAAACAAAACCACAAGGTGTTTGCTTCCACACTCCCTAACCCAGGAAACCTCAGAATGGTTGGCAAGAGTTCTAAACCTCGGGAGGCTTAGTAAAATTTGTTCCTGTAAAATGTATTTGCCAAATACTAAAAACAAGTTGAAAAACATGGAAACAATTTCAAACATTGCTATTATCACTTCAGTGGCTTTACAAAGCCCTTTACTTTTAAATGATTAATATTGGTCAAGCTTTTGCCACATGCCTTAGTACAAATGCTTACATGTATCTTCTTATTTAATCCTCATCATACCTTTTATAGTAGGTGTTATTGTTATCTCCATTCTACACTGACGAAGCTTAAACTTTGAAGTTGATAGTTTATACCTCTTTTGTAAGGCAGAGCTAGGCCATATGCAATGAACTCTAGAGCCTACACTTTAACATCTTAATCTCTTGTGTTCCCATTAAGGCTCCCTGACATATAGGACAAATTCTTGTATAATTCTTAATTATTGTATAATTCTTTTCCTAATTTTAGGTGAAAATATTGAGTCTAAATGAAGAATTGATATAAATAAATACATTTAAAGAGAACCTGAAGAAGATTCTTGTAGAGTTAGGTCTAGATCAATACAAAACAAGTAGCTTCTTTATATTTTGTGTAGAAAGTAGAATATTATGTTCAAAAGGACCAGCAATCAGCTGACGCCTTTGAGTGTGTCTGCCTGTTTCTATTCCAGATGATTATAGAACATTAGAATTATTTTTGAACATTAGTTCCAGAAAGGAATACAGAAGTCCAATTATTTAATTATATCAGTTGTCAACATCTAGACCTTAAAGTTGAGCTATAAAATACATTGTAAGAATATACACTAAAGCATTAACATTTTATCTAATTTGATATAATGCAAATATATTACTTTTATTTTATAAATAGCTTTTAAAACTTAAAACTTATCGACACCATACCAAGCCCACTCATTTTATCCGCTTACCGTGTTCACAGTCTCTCCCATAGTAACCTTGGAGGCACTCACAGCTTCCAGAAAACCTGTTGCAAACTCCACTGTTCTGACAGATGCAAGTAAAATGGCAGCCTGGGCCATAATACCCAGGGGAACATTCTGAAAAAGGAACCATCCAAGCATTAGTTCTAGTTAAGACAATTGAATACTAATGAGTTTGAAGACAAAAAAATATTAAAAGCAGATGAATCATTAGCTAACCCAATAAAGATAAAAGACAGAAAGCACAAATATACACACCATTTTAAAATTATGGAATGATCATCAAAAGGAATAGATATAAAAAGTACAGTATAAATAAATATAAAAACCTGAATGAAATGGGAAAGTTACAGAGGACAACTTATCAAAATTATCTTACTTTGAGGCAGAAAACCTAGGCTAATTAGAATAGAACAACATTAAAGAAAATAGCAAAATAGCTACTGAATTTTTTAAAAATCCCATAAGACCTAGGTTTCACAGGAAAAAGAACCTTCTATAAACATTCACAGATCAGATCCTCACCTTACTATTTACACTAGCCCAGAACACTGAAAAGAAGGAAGCTTTCAAATACATTTTACTGAGTATAGCATCAATTCCAAAACCTGACAAAAATACATTAAAGAGCTCAATTTCACTTATGAATATTGATGCCAAATTCATAAAAATATAAATACATCGAAACCAATAGCAGACTATAAAGTAATATATCATGTCCAAGTTGTATTTATTCCAAGGAGGTAAGGTCATTTAATATTAGAAAATTCATTAATATATCCACCATAATTATCAGCCCAAGAGAAAAGTTATATTATTAATTCCATAGATGTATAAAAGACATTTGAAAAATAAATTCACTAAAATATTCAGTAAAAATATTGAGTAAATTAGAAAATTAATAGCTATATCTCAAATGAATATTATTATACAGTATTTTACTTAATAGCTTGAACAAATGGAATGATAGACCATGTCTATTCTCAGATACAATGAGTTAATATCATAAATATGTCCATTCTCCCAGAGAGTATAGACAGAGAACAACAAACAGTAAAAAATACCTGTTGTTTTTGTTTTTTTGCATCTGGACAATTTTATTATAAAGTTCACATGGAAAGACAAACAAGAATGGTGCCAGAAAATCCTTGAAAAATAAAGCATGAAGGGTGGCTAGCTCTATCAGTATCAAATATGTTTAATAAAGGCTTCATAATAAAAATGGTACTGCATTTGTACCTAAATAGACCAATAGAACAGAGCATCCAGAACTATCCCAAACTACATATAAATGCTTAGTGTTTGATGAAGGATAAATCTGGAGCTGGTGAGGAAGTTTCACTTGTAAAAGTTGCATTACAATAAATGAAAAGCCATGTAGGGGGAAAATGGATTTGTTTCTCACACAATTCACCAAGAAAAATATTTAAAATTGATCAGAGAATCAAATGTCAAAAAATGACATCGTACTGGTAAGTAAAACAAAATATGAGTGAATTCCTCTACTACCTGAGAATGGGGAATACACTCCTAAGTGTGACTCAAAATTTAAAAAGAATAAAGGGGCCCTAACCGGTTTGGCTCGGTGGATAGAGCATCGGCTTGCAGACTCAAGGGTCCCAGGTTCGATTCCAGTCAAGGGCATGTACCTTGGTTGTGGGCACATCCCCAGTAGGGAGTGTGCAGGAGGCAGCTAATCGATGTTTCTCTCTCATTGATGTTTCTAACTCTCTATCACTCTCCCTTCCTCTCTGTAAAAAATCAATAAAATATATTTAAAAAAATAATAAAGGGAAGAAAGATATATTTTATTACAAAAATAAACCAAACAAAAAAATCCCTTTGAATCATGAAGAACCCATTGTCTAAAGATATTCCCAAAGAAGCAAGTCCCCTGGGGTTCACACCCTTGTGCTGTTCCCTCCTATGTGGAACCTGGACTGAGCCCAGGACTTGCTTTAGAAAATCAGCTCTCATGTAAGAAACCAAATCATTCTGTTGGAGAATTATTCTGGTGGAACCCTCATGATGGGACAAGTGTCTTTATAAGAAGAAACATGAGTGTGCTCGCTCTCTCTCTCTCTCATCTCTTTCTCCCTCCCCACTCCCATGTAAGAATAAAACAAAAACAAGGGCATCAGCAAATCAGAAAAGAGGGCCTTCACCAGGCACTAAATCTGCCTGTCCCTTAATCTTGGACTTCCCAGACTCCAGAACTGTGAAAATAAATTTCTGTTGTTTAAGGCTCCTACTTTATGATATTTTGTTATATCAGCCTGAGCTGACTAAGACAAGGAGAAAGAAGCCACGTGGAGCAAAGCCTGGTTGGCAGATGTGTAAATAAAGAGGTTATCTTCTATATTCCAGCCCGGCTGAATCTCCAGAGAACATCAGCCCCAGCTGCTATCTGAGAGAAGGACCACTCAGCTGAATGCAGGTAACGCTCAGAATCATGAGAGATAATAATTCATGGTTGTTCCAGTTTCTAAGTTTTGGGGTAGTTTGTTATATGTCAATTAATGACCTATCAGGTGGCAAAATAAAAAGACAAAACATAAACTTACCCAAATATGGGTGAAAATTCATAACAAAGAGTTAATATTTCTAATATCTATAGAACTAGTATCATAGTAGAAAAAACAAAAACCTTATAGAAAAATGAGCTTGAGTTATGAACAATTTATAGAAAAAAATAAATGCAATAGATGCTTACCAGTTACAAAAGATACTTAATTTTATTCATAATACTAAAAATGAAAAATAAATATCCACTGATAGAACATTTTTTACCAAAATTTTGATAACATACTCTTTTGATAAAGTTCTGATGCAAGAGATATTCTATATCTTGGTTATGAGGATGCAAAATGGTATAAACTCTCACAGAGGCGAATTTGTCAATATGTTGCAAAATTACATTTGCATTTACCCAGTGGCTCATCAACTCTTGTATTATATTTGAGATAAAATAAATAAATAATATATAAATTTAAATGATAAAAACAAAAATTTAAAAAGGTTTCATGACAAAATAGGATAAGTTTAATAGAATAAATTTTAATAATAAATAGTTGAATTTAATTAAAACAATTTCATAAATAACAAAGGGTTTAAATGATAGGATCAAACGTTAAAATATCTTATTTCCCTAAATGCTGAAGTTTCCCAACTTAAAATTTAAAAAAACACACAACAAAACAATATGGACATAAAGCTGCTGTCTAGTTTTGAAGAATTGCTATTAATCTGATTTAGCAATCTCCAATATCACAAAATTGGTAACAGTTGTCTCCATAAATGAGGGAGGATATCCACATAAAAAAAATCCAAGAAAATGACCTTAAATACTAGGTTTAGAAGCACTGTTACTTCAAAGTGTCATTGTCTTCATATTCATGTGAGAAAACCAAATCACAGAGAGACTGTGAACTTCCCAAAGGCACAGAGTATGGTATGGGCCGAGCAGAGTTGGCATACGAGTCTGTCCGCTCCTATTGCAAGGTGCTTTCTTGTGTGCCATGATGCCGAATTTCATGGTAGTCAAATTCATAGTGAAGGACAGTGGGTATGACACTCATTGGGATAGTATGTCAGGACGCAGGTCTAAAGAGCCATGACCCCATAGTTAAAAACAACTAGGTACAAGTTTACTATCAATTTTTTTTTTTACATAAGGTGCCCCAAGTGTAGGCCCCTAGCAGTATTCTCACCCACACTCTGTCTCCCTGCCAGAGACATTTCTGTCTATGCTGCCAGAACACAAAACCATCTCCTACAAAAGTGAGCTCTTAAGTAGGGTGCATGCTCTCCAGTATTGCACAAAATAATCAACTGCGGTTTGGAAAGAAGAATTAGAACTATCAATCTTTATCTTTATCCATTCTCTAGCAATTTAAACCTTTATATATGTTTTATGGTATGCATAATATATTAGCTGAGAAGCACATAAATGTCACTTATGTGTAAAAAATATATTTACAGTGGTAGATGATGATATTTTCCTGATGAAATAAAGTTTGGAGTCCTCTGTGCCCAGAGTCCTCTCCTTCACCCCTGGCTCTGCCCAGGGCCCCGCATCCTCCAGCCTGCCTGCCTCAAGGCTTCATCCCAGCAAGATAATTAGTTTTGTTATTAGTTCCTGTTTTATTGCTTTGTGATCATCGAATGTCATGAATTATATTTTTTAGAATTGCTTGAGTTTCTTTTTCAATTTTTGTGAATGTTCAATGGATACATTTTCAGTGGTGGTTGAGGTCCTTTAACCTCATTCCAAGAAACTCAGGGTTCAGCA